TTTTTTTTTTTTTTTATTATTATTATTATTTTTTTTTTTTATTTATTTATTTTTTAGTGAAAAAACGTATTAACGTCTAAAAAAAAAAGGGCGCCATTCTAAGGCGAATTAATTGGAATTAATTCATGTTAATCGTGTAGAAATCTCTACGCCAGACGATAAAATATGAATTATGACTAAATATCAAACAAAGTTCAAGAAACAAAAAATAGGTTTATGTCATGTACAGAAACCAAAGCGTCTAACATTTTCTGAGACAATATTAAACCAAGTTCCTACTCCGTGTCTTTATTCAGACACCTTGATTCAGTCAGCTTCAGTATTATGACTGTGATGATTGAATTTTTATAATCATGCTAAGAAAAAATAACAAAATACTAATTCTCAATTTATACTTCATAGAAAGGGAAGAAAGACTCATTCATTATTATGAGTTTGTGGCAGCGTTATCAATTCGTAAAATAAAATCGCATTATTTTTTGGTATTATTAAAAAATGTCCTTAATCTAAACTAAAGGTTACAAGTAGTGGTAGTACTGGTAGGTACCTACATAATACATAGTTTATTTTATGTGGTTGATTCGTTCTTTGACTGACCAAAGTCCACTAGTCCGGTTGTTATTACAAGCGGCCCGATTTATTTTTTGATGCGTCAATAATTTTCTATTACATTGATTACAATGTAATTATTATTGTGTTATATTTATAAAGGCATAGTTATTATCGCTTTAACGCATAATAAGATACTTTGCTTGTCTAAAAGATTTAGCAAGATAAGAAATGATTCAATGTATTTCATGATGTCGCATCTCTTCTTATGAGAATTCTAACGTTATACATAAATAGTTTATACGAACCAATTGTAAAACAGTACATGGAGTTAAAACTGACCTTTTTTTTTTTTTTTTTTAAATAAATAATAATAATGATGATGAAGCCTTACTTTGTAAGACTATCAATAGTATTATTAGCATTAATCATACATTGATTAGTAGGTACAAACCTACATAATAATGTTTTTCCAATACAAGAAAAAAATGACGTCATCTTAAGTACCGATACCGATACAGTTTAAGGAAGCTCTTAGATTTTATCTATTATTTATAGATACAAGCTGGTGAGACGTCATGAATAAAAAAATAAACTTTGTAAAAATATCAGGGCTAAAGAAAGGCCGCAAAGAGACAAACAAAAATGTTGCCTGTTTGTTCAGATACAAAACAAGCATCCGTTAAAATAAGACCATAATTCTATTTGCTTTTCAGTGGCTATCGTGTTTATGTAATAAACATATTATATTAGTAATAAGTTTCTTTAAACCATAAATGAATCTTTTGTTAAAAGTTTAATTGCGGTTAAAATATCATCCCTTTTGAAGTGCTTAAACCACATAAACTTTGTTTAGCATCTTATATAAACGCTATCTAAGTCCACCATCTAGGAACATTTTTTTTTTTTTTTTAACAAGTGGGTAATCTCAGAATGTACTCGTGTTGACGGATGCGATTAAGAATATTCTTAATATCAACGTCTCTGCGCCGACGTGTATAATTATTTGTTTGTATAATTAATTATGTTTACTCGCATGGTTATGATGATTATGAAAAAAATCATCTGGGTTCGATTCGGGAATCGAATAGGTATCTCGGTACAATAAATTCTGTAACCGGATAATATGTACATTGCATTTAAAATAAAAATATTTTAAGCGGCCAGCACATACCTGTACATAGATGGCGCGTCGTCTAGGGACGCGGGTTACCTTGGTGTTCTGGTCGGTCTTTAATGGCGCTTCCCGCGTTGCGCTGGCAGCGCTGGGCATGCGGCGGCGGCGGCGCGGCGCTGCGGCGTAAATAAAGGCGCCTGCGCTTGTGGAAGGCGGCGTGGTTGCGCCGCGGGCGGGTGATAGGTCTTAGCCCATCATACCATACAGCAGGGCGTAGCTTGTCGGTACGGCCTCTGTATAAAGCCTCGATTCACACAGTTATGCGAACGGCTAAAGCTTAATTATATATTCAGTGCAGCAGCCTGGATTAGTTGTCATATCAAATAAATACCTCTTTTCCCGTTTTAGAGGATTATAATGAGTTATAGTTGTCGACCGTCGATGTAATTGGTCGACCGACCGGAAATGTAGAAAGATCTTTGTAAGTTTCCAACAAAAAAAATGTGAGACTGATAAGTACTCAAAATCACAATGTCAGTTAATATGAGTCGTTGCATAGAAAAAACGACATATTGTCATACTTCATATATAAAGTAGGCATTTATTTCCACTTCGACTCGGTTCGGTCAACAAACCGGCCTAAGGTTTATTTAGGATCTTTTATTCTGACCTTATAATAGCAAGTAATGAATCTACATAAATGCACTTTGAATTTTGATCTGATACTTATTTCTTTCTTACTAGCCTTTGTATTTAGACCAATATCGATTGGTGTAATGTATAAAAATACAAAACAACAAAATTATTCAGTTACCCTTTGTAGCATTGAACAATGTGTATGGCCACAGGGTCATCGGTCGTTATAAAAGCAGGCGGAGGCTCGACTGGGGCGAGTGCGTCCGCGGCGCCGGGTCATCAGGCTCCAAGACGGTTGATGGTTCATAAGGTGTAAGGCCAAGAAGGCAAGCTCTTAATGTGGGTAGTTTCGTACAAACGCAACATTTTTCTGTATGAGCTCATTATGTTCTGTTTTTACGGCTTTTTAAAATGGCCGAAAAGAAGATACTTAACTCGTAAAAGTGAATAATATTACAATACCTGGCTATCTCGGTAGTTAATATCTCGTTTTTACTCGCTAGAGCAAAAAACGGCTACTGGTTAAAAAATAACCGAACATAAAGTGGCTGCTGGTTAATATCTCGTATTAACGCTACTGGTTAAAAAATGACCCGCAAAAATGACCGAATATAAAGTGGTTGCTGGTTAATATCTCGTATTAACTCGCTAGAGCAGAAAATGGCTACTGGGTAACATCTCGCATTACCTCGGAGCAAAAAAATGGCTACTGGTTAACATCGCGCGTTAACTTGGAGCTAAAAATGGGTCAAAGTTACGCGTCGTGTCACAACGCTTATAATAAAAATGTACGAGCACTTGCACAAAATAGTTGTTACAACCAACCTTTTGTTGGGTCTAATTCTCGTCACTACACTGCACAACTTAAAATAATTACGTTTTTTGTCGGTAAAAACGTCCTGGTGACGTCACTTAAGCATTTTTCTTATACTGCGTGCGGTCGTTGCGCGTGCGCACAAAGGAATGAGACCGCTCGGACACCGAGCCCACAGCGTGGTAGGGGTGGGGTTGCCCGCTCTTTTGTTTTTTAATACTACTACGCTGAATATTGTGTGCGGATTGGGTTGTCGTACAGGGGTACTACATGGTAAAATAAATCTCGGAGGCGAAAGCAGGATAATTAGTGTAGAAGATGGTACGCTGTCGCTAGTTGGATCTTCACGGTGTAATAATAGAAGATTGTTTGCCACCAATGCCTAATTTGTTTAATCGCTAGTTTACAAGAACAACATCCAATGTTTGCCCTCTAATAATGTAATTAACCACTTGTTGTCATTGGCAAGTGCTAACTGATTGTTGATCAACATCAGCGAGCAAATAATCGGTGTTGACAATGGATTATAACTCTTAGGTCTGCTTTTACAACTCTATTAAAACCTTCGCCTTGAAGGCAAATAAAGTAGGAAATTCTGATAGCTTATTTGATTCGTATTAGATTATATTGTAACCAAGTTCCATGGAAATAGAGCTTAGGATAATAAAAGGCTTTTGAGATATTTCTTCATGTAAAATTGTTTGTAACTCGCACTACTTCAGATAGAAATATAATGGATTTCAAACTTGCAAAAACACAGAAAAACCAGACATTTAATGAACAAAAGAGAGTTCAAAAGTTATTAAATTTTACCTAATGTTATCTACGTATTTATAAAATGTATTAACATTATAGAATCATTAAAAACACGTATAATGAAGTAGGTAGATAAATAACATATCAATAGAATGAGAAACCTCAATAATTTTCAATGACATGATCCATAATGACGAATTATAAACCTAAATGGATCAAAATAATTCACTGAGAAACTATAAACTCTATTAAAACATTTGTGGAACAAGTCATATTAAAAGAACTAACCGAAAATTAAAATCTGTCAACTCCACTTTTCAGACTTTAAAATTCCTTTTTTTCTAGACAGAATTTAAAACAAATACCTACATTTTTCCATGCCTCTCGAGTTACGAAATTTTAGTGTCACATTAGATACTATGTATCCACTTCATTTGCACCTAACTGGCTGTTATAACCCGACTGCGGCGCCAGAATTCATGTGCTCACACATCAAATATTTGGCCAGATAAGGCAAGAGTTCATTACCATTTTTAGAACAAAACGCTAAGTGTGTCTGTACATAACTCGCCGGAAAGTCAGATTGGATTAGCGGCTTAAGAATTTTAAGAGATTTCTGTTGGCACAGAGCAAGAGCGTTTCTATTTGGCTAGTCAATGTTTGCAAAGAGGTTTTTTAGAATAGTTCTCAAAGTGTTAGTCTATTTTAAACCTTTAAAATGTATGCCTTTTATGGTTTTAAGCTAAGGTGGATACCTACTCTACATCTTTAAGTATTTCATCAAAATCATTGATATTTGAAGTCATATCAGACGCCATAATAAAAGTCATAAAAATATTGGAATGCTGTCAGCCGAATTTTCAGTAGTTTCTCTTGTGCATTTATTTTATTGAAATGTTATTCTTATTACAAGATACCTACGTCCTAACTAATATTATTATACTGTCAAGTAAGACATTATTTGAATGCTTGTCTTACATGATTAATTAGTTCAATATCTAATATTGGGTCAAAAAAAAACCTAAATAGAAGACATAAAAACACTAATATCCTAACGCATATACGATTGCGTGAAAAAGACAATTGACTGCAAGCAAATCTAAAAAGTACTAAAAACAAAGAACTTACTGGTTCCGTGTCGCAAGTCTCCAAATCTGGTATCGGGTCGTCCCCACAATAGTACTCCGCGCTCAAGAAAGGTGGCCTCGGAGGAGGAGGCAGCAGGAACTCCGGAGGTGGTCCAAGGCAATCACACTCACTCAGGTCCGTGGGCTCTAGCTCCCACATCTCGTTATCTACCTTATCACTACTCACAACCTCACTAACATCACTATCACTATAAATATCACGTTTATCCCTCCTCACTTCATTAGTCCTCGCTTTGATTACATTCGCTATGTATACTTCATCATCAACGTCGCTCCAGACGTCTTTCCTGATGTCATCATCTTCTGAATTCGCTATAACACTTTCACTATGAACTCTAGATATGTCACCGTAATCACTTTGAAGAACATCTTCAGATTTTTCAACTTTATGCGCACTTATGTCGTTAAATTTTGGCAAAGCAGATCCTTGAGGTCCTTGAAGATGATTCCAAGCATTGTGGGATGTCCAAAAAGCGTACGGTGACGCTTTAGTTGGACTACTCGTGTATCTTTCGGCCATACGCAGATTTCTTCTAAATTATCTGTAACAATAAAAAATAAAATTAAAATTTCTATCCAATCAAATTCCTTTGCATTTAAAAAAGTTATTATTTTGGATTTTACCATGTCTATAACAAGACGTCATCAAAGGAATTTAGCACCTAAAGAACATTGTAACTGGCACGCAATAAAAAGTTGTCGTAAGTTTCGCTGCTGTCCCGCGACACGAGTGACGTGAACCTCGCTCGGTTACTTGGGTCGGAATGAAGATCCTTTAGTCCCCACCTCACAGCGTTAGCTACCTGACCCTATACCGGGGTTTCAAAACGTTTTTTGTGAGCGCAGACAGCACACGACAACGGTCTACTCAATTCGATTGTATCTGTAGGATTAAAAACATTAATGTTATATTGAGTCATCAAGTTATTACAGTCGGTAATTATGAGTTTTTGGTGTTATGCAATCGTAATTAGATTTAATAGGTGTAGGTAATGTCAGTTTGACTCGATTTTTAGTAATTATCTGAAATTAAAATGTCATTTTAATTATGTTACTTAATTTAAGTTACAAACCAGTTTTGAAGGTGCTTCCATGCCGTAACTTAAGTAAGTAGCGGCTTAGTAATTTGCCAATTTAATGTTGTGATTGTAATATTAAAAGTTAGTTAGGACTTAGGCAGGTATAATGAATTACTACAGTAAAAATGATCCGTGAATAATAAGCTTTGACCTAATAATAATACCGTGTACTTCACATTGAATAGTGGAGGGTTTCAAGCGTACCTATGGGCACCCTTTTTAAACTGAAAATCATGTAGGTACTTACTTGATATTTGAAGCATTGATTGCAAGTATTGCAACTATCCCAATGAGGGTTTTCGCGATTGAAAAATCCGCCAGATGGCAATACGTAGACGGGAGGTCCAAATGCTGCATGATTGGTTATTTTTGACATGGCATTGACAGATATGTCAAAATCCACCAATCATGCAGCATTTGGACCTCCCGACATATTGCCATCTGGCGGATTTTTCAATCGCGAAAACCCTCATTAGGACACAGCAATGACTTTGAAATATCAATTCTCGGATCTGTTTTGGAAAAACCTGCCAAATACATTTTGATTTCAGAAAATACGGGCCGTCAAATACATTATTTACCTTTTGATACCCTCTATAAAACCCGTCCAAGCTACTCATATAAACTACCGAACAGACGGACAAAACAACCGCACCTGATTAATCTGACGTGCCATCCATCTCCCGAATCAAACCACTTATTATCTAATAGAAGAACTAACACCTCATTTTGTATAACAAAAGCACCGCGATTAGAAATTGTGTTGTATTACAGTCGTGAACGAAAGTCTTGAATGAAAATACTGGAAAAAAATATTTATACATGACAAACATGGTAAGTATGTAATTTTGCATACCAACATTTTTCTATCCACAGCGAGGAAGCTCTTGGCCTGCATCTCACCTGATAGAAAGTGATGATCAGGCCGAAGGTGGAAGCAAGATTCACTCGGAATCCTCAAACCACAAAGAATCTAGCTCTCTTACCTTTAACTGTCGGCTAATATTAAGCAATAAAGAACATTTGAATTTGAATTTACGTATCTTATTCTTTCTTTCTGTCTGACTTATCAACTGAAACACCGTACAAGACATGTAGTAGCTTAATGTTTTTTTCTGTTTTTCCCGCTTAGTAATAATAAAATATGAATGTTGACTGAGGCAAGACAATACATAATTTAAAAATACCAACTACCTACGCATAATTACTTCATCACAAAGGAAAAGAAAAGGTCAAGAAATATTGTTTATTTGACATTAAAAATAGACATACATATTCATGCTTATAGAGTCCACTCTACGAACTCTAATATGGGCATGTAGTTGGACAACACTGAAGTGGGACACATGCAATTATTTTAATGCAGAACAAGGCAGGTATTTCTCCGCAATCGCACCAGTGTGCTTACCATGAGTTCACGTTAGGTGTGCTCCCTAGCGAGTACGTCAAAAAAATCTATGAAGATTTTATTTCTTGAAAGTAGCCACTAGGGGCGCTGAACAATATGTCATACGTTTAATGTCATTACCTGATGGTAAGTGAGATACTGTCTAGGATGGTACATATCTGCCCTGTAAGTGCTTATTCACTCTCGCCTTGAAAAGGCCCGGATTTAGTGTTCGGTAAAGACAGCAGCTTTTACAGGAGTTTCTTACTACGAGTATCAACACTCGATTATTAGTAGTGATTTTGCCACTTGACGTTTCAGAATCGTTGTACTTCAATAAAAAGTGATAACAAATTTTGTTCCTGACAGTACAATTGAAACTAAGTGTCGATATCATCGATACCGGTCAGCTATTTTAATTTATTTTTTATCGATTCAAATGCTCTGGCTCGTTCCTAAGCTGCATACATCGCGATGGCTTTGCCTTTCAAAAGAGTAAAGTTCATTTTTGATGCTTCATTCAGATCAGTTTTGCAACGGCATTCATATTTTGAAGTTTAATGACCTTTGTTGACTTTAATAGTTTTTATATGAATGCATAATGACTTAGAGGGTGATTAACCAGTCTTAGAAAAACAACATTTAGCCAATACCTGGTTAAATTATCGTTGGAGAAAAACGTTAAAAAGAAGACAAATAAAATATTTTTCACAGAAACTTGGGTAGGTATGTATAATTTAATGAACTTAACATAAACGTTATTAAGAAAGCATTTTTCTGGGAAAAAGCTACAATACAACATTTTTATAAATTATGTGAGAGTGTAATGACATCAAGCGTAATATTTATTTTGATATTTATTTGAGAGATGAAAACTAATTCTTGTGACGGTAAAAAAAGTGTTTTAGTGTCACGTGCTGGTGTTTTACGACTTGTGACGACTCAAAGACTCTATAATCGACCAAAACCAACGCAGATAAAGCCGCAGGCAGAACCTAGTGTTTAATAAACAAGTTATCTTCCTAGTCAACCACAAGTAAGGTCACTCGGAATACCCGTACCTCAGCAAGACTGCCAGGTCAGAAGTCAACAGGCTTCGGATGACCCTCGAGTATTGTGCACGATGTGAGCGATGCCGTCAAGTGTATGTAATATAAGGCTGGGGTTACACTGCTGGTCGAGTTTAATAAAGCTACAAAAACACAAACCATAAAAAATAGAGTTGCGTTTCAATACGGTAAGTTCCTGGCGGCACTCCAATCCTATCTAACCGAGCCACAAACAAGAAGATAGATGTCACACAACGTTCACTTCTTGTAATGATGTAAAGAACTATGCTATTAGTTTAGGGTAAAATAAAGCTACAAAAATAAATAGAGCTGTGTTACACTACAGATGCTTCCTTGTGGTACCGTCAAATATCAAAGTACCTAATTCTCTCGTAGCTACAGTAAATAAATTAAGAAAGTTGCTTGTCAAGCTAAATAAAACAGAAGCTACCGCGATGTAAAAATGGAACAACGCCATCTATTGGTTGTTACAGCACCGAAGCTTAAATCAGATACAAAGCTGCTTATAGTCCAGGTTATAATTACTGTAAGTATAATATTATTTAGATGTTACTCAACAAAAAAACAAAAGAAAACGTCTTCCAATTAGGTAGGTACATTAGGAATAAATACTTATTATGATGGCATCAATTTGACAAGACAAGACAGCATTATTGTGTTCCGGCAGATAGAAGTAAGATAGCCAGTTCCTCTGTGGTTGAGGATTCCGGGTGAAGCTCGCTTCCACCTTCGGCTTGATCATCACTTACCATCAGGTGAGATACAGGCCAAGAGCTTTCTCGTTGTGGATGAAAAAAAAAATCAACAAAGAAAGAAAAAAGAAATACAATAACATGGAAAAGTATGAAGGACTAATGCCCTAGAGTAGCTAAATATGTTACTTAGTTCTCTGATCCCAAGAATCATTCTAAAAATACTAGCGAGATTATTTTAGGATATTTCCCGATACAATAATTCCTACGTAAACGTACGTATCATTTTATTAGCCCAGTGGTCTCACAATGGGATCAAAATAATCTTACACAAAATATCTCCACAATGTTTATTTTTGGAGGTACATCACAAAGGTACTTTGTATTGAAATAGAAAAGCTTCTGCCATAAAAAGTAGACGAAAAAACAACTTTGCATTGCGAATTCTTGCAGAAAAATTATCACTTTTATAAAGTCCAGCCATTTAAATGTACTCGTAGTAGACTATAATATTAATTAATCTATGGAATAATATCGATGAGATGTTCAGTATCGGCCTGTAAGTGGCTTCGAGGGGTCGCTAGTTCAATTCCTGAGAGAATGTAGTGAAACCTCAGATCATAGAAAGAGAATAGATATGAAGTCGCGCGTAACTACAACGAGAACCAGTGTCCCCACATTTCCCCCACCACAGCTCCCACACACACATTCAACTGTGTAAAAACAAAGCGACTGAGAGTCTACGACAACATGTGCAACCGGCTTAAAAGTGCTGTGATTGGCCAGAAGGCGTGCCTTATGGCCAATCAATGGCCGCGTGACGTGACGCACACTTAGAAAACGCTAGTGAGAGAACAAAGATAAAATGGAGTCGACAAGATATCGATACTTTAAATCGCTAGGGGCAAGGCTCGAAACTGGTTTCACAAAATGCTTATGTATGAAAACCTTTTTATTATTATACGTTATTATTAACTACTATCACGCATTTATTTTTTAATTATGGCGATCTGCGTACCGCATATGTTTATCAAAAATAATGCCTATATTAGGCTTTCAACTAGCTCTTATAGTAATTACATAGTTGACAGTTACTAATTACTTCTACTGTTATTATTTTTTTGGAAAATCTTATAATCGCAAGTAACACATCATTTTTTTATTTAAAATTACAAAATAGAAAATTATAATTTACTTCTATTTATCGATAATAGGAAACCGCATTAGAACACGAGCACGGCACTATGTTACGACCGGCACATGCGGCCGTACTGTGTATTTTCACACGACAGTGGATATCGGAAGAAATTAAAT